GTTGATGAGGACAAGGCTGGAGGTCACTCTGTCATGCTGTATGAGTTAGAATAACAGACTGGATGCTTAAAAGGAGGCTGGGGCTTGAAATCATTGTTCTTCTTCTATTACCCCTGATTACCAGCAAAGAAACATGTGCAGTCATCATTGCATTGCACAAAAAAGACTTTGCACAGGCAAGGATATAGCTGCTAGTAATGTTGCACCTAAATCAATCATTTATCGGATCATCAAGAACTTCGAGGAGAGAGGTTCAATTGTTGTGAAGAAGGCTTCAAGGCACCCAAGAAAGTCCAGCGAGCGCCCGGACTGTCTCCTAAAGTTGATTCAGCTGCATGATCGGGGCACCACCAGTGCAGAGGTTGCTCAGGAACGGCAGCAGGCAGTTCTGAGTGCATCTGCATGCAAAGTAAGGTGAAGATTTCTGGAGGATGACCTGGTGTCAAGAAGGGCAGCAAAGAAGCCACTTCTCGCCAAAAAAAACATCAGGGACAGACTGATATTCTGCAAAGGGTACAGGGATTGGACTGCTGAGGACTGGGGTAAAGTCATTTTCTCTGATGAATCCCCTTTCCGATTGTTTGGGGCATCTGGAAAAAAGATTGTCCTGAGAAGAAAAGGTGAGCACTGCCATCAGTCCTGTGTCATGCCAGCAGTAAAGCATCCTGAGACCATTCATGTGTGGGGTTGCTTCTCAGCCAAGAGAGTGGGCTCACTCACAATTTTGCCTAAGAACAAAGTCATGAATAAAGAATAGTATCAAAACATCCTCCCAGAGCAACTTCCAACCATCCAAGAACAGTTGGTGCCTTTTCCAGCATGATGGAACACCATGCCATAAGGCAAAAGTGATAACTAAGTGACTCGGGGAACAAAACATCGACATTTTGGGTTCATTGCCAGGAAACTCCCCAGACCTTAACCTCATTGAGGACTTGTGGTCAATCCTCAAGAGGCGGGTGGACAGACAAAAACCCACAAATTCTGACAAACTCCAAACATTGATTATGCAAGTATGGGCTGCCATCAGTCAGGATTTGGCCCAGCAGTTGATTGACAGCACGCCAGGGCGAATTGCAGGGGTCTTGGAAAAAGAAGGGCCAACACTGCAAATATTGACTCTTTGCATAAACTTAATGTTATTGTCAATAAAAGCGTTTGTCACTTATGAAATGCCTGTAATTTATACATTAGTATATCACAGAAACACCTGACAAAAAGATCTACAAACACTGAAGCAGCACACTTTGCGAAAACCAATATTTGTGTCATTCTCAAAACTTCAGGCCACGACTGTGCAGTTACCAGGACAGTGTGAGTATGGCAAGCTGTCGGGTCCTGCGAGCCGCAAACACATTTTTTCTTGCACTTGTGGCGAAAACTGAAGTTTCCAGGCAATGTTCATATGAGTTATTTGGACAGGGTCCAGTCTCAGTCTGAGTAGAAACCTTGATTTTAAAGCCTGATGGTAAGATAAGATACAAATCCTTCCTGTAACTGTGCATTGAGCAGTGAAATGGCATTTAGCAGGACTGCAGGCAACAGTGGGGCATATACAATATGCAGAGACAAGGGCAATAAATATAGAGACACATGGATGGATACAGAAATACACAATATACAAAATAGTATGAGACCAGAGATATATGTGCAATATTTGTAGAACAGTGCAAAATGCTAACCTATGAAAGAGGTGCAAATTGCAAATTGAATTAAGGGGTGCTTTGGCACATTGGTGTGGGGGAGGTATTATCACTTACAAAGACGAGGTTGGGGCATGAGGGGGGGGGGGGGGGGCAGTCCAACAATAGCTGTGGAGGAAAAGCTGTACCTTAAACACAAAATGTATATTTTTCAAAATTAGTTTAATTAGTATTTTCACTTCTCGCTACGAGTTTTGTTAAACTGCTTGGCCTACTAAAAAGTGACAAGGGTCTAAAACATTTGGAACATAATTGGATTGTTCTGGGTTGGGGGCCTGATGTGATGTGTTTTCATGGGGCCCAAAATCCCTAGCAGCACCCCTGATCAGTCCATCCCAAAGGTCTGTGTTGTGGTTCCTTTAATGAAGGAGAAACCTGAGGATCATGTGACTCAGTCTCTTACTGATGCCCCCATGCTTGAACCTCTGAGATCTTTTTCTTTACAAAGATCAGCGGAGGGCGGCAGTCGGAGCCTCAGTCCTGGGGGAGACGCTCCTGCAGTTCTGACCGGCGCTATCTTCTCTCCCGACAGCCCATGAAGGCTCTGAAGGCATCGGCGGGCACGTCGCAGCCGGTCCTAAACCCCCAGCAGGTGGAGACCGTGTTTTTCCAGGTTCCCGAGCTGCGGGAGATGCACAGGAATTTCTACGATGGACTGAGCGAGAGGCTGGAGCCCCTGCTGAGCACGGAACCAGAGGGGGGGCAGCGGCAGGCCACTGTGCAGCCCCCCGTGGGGGACCTCTTCCTGAAGATGGTAGGGGGCAAGAAAGAGGCATTTCAGACTCGCTGATGCACTGAGGCTCAGATCCATCAGGGATTTTATCTGAAAAATCCCACCACAAATGATTCAGCTCAAGAGCTGTCTGGCACTTAGCACAAGGAGGTGCAAGAAGTTAGATGAGGGGAAACCCAAAAATGTGCAGGGCTCCAGCCCTCCAGGACTGCAGTTTGACACCCCTGCTTTATGTTCAACTGATAGGTTGAAACAAAACCCTGGTCTGGATTTTTACTTTCTGGACCTAAACTATCCACCTCTGCTCAGGAAGCATATGTCACAAGGCAGGGGTACACCCTGAATGAGATGCCAGATGATGGATAGTGGTTATCCAGTTATTTTTGATATAATGCATTTGTTTGAATCGTATTTGGGTACCCTGTACTTCATACTTTTGATTTCCATTGTTTTTCATTTACACTTCCCTGTTTTACTTTAGTCATGGAGGTTATTTCTGCTGCAACATAGATAACCTTTATATATTTCTAGGAGAGTTACCAATGAGACTTTTTAAAGGGACCACCACCTCATTTTGTTAATGTCAGTTCTGTTTTGGCACCTGTTAGCCCCAGAACAAAGTGGTAGCAACATGGACACTCCCGACAGGGACACGATGACGGGGACACAGACCTCAGCAGCCGCTTCCCCATATGCGTGACGTCTAGGTTATTATTCTCGTTTGTAATTGGTAACTGTGGCCCCCAGGTCAGCCAGCTGGGCGTGTACCGGGGTTTCATTGACAACTATGAGAGTGCAGTGGAGATCGTGAGAACATGCACCCAGGCCGACCAGCGCTTCAGGACACTGGCGGAGGTGAGTGACATCACTGTTTGGGCTAATGAGCGGGAAGATGACTGTAGCCTAGGCTGCTATGCTAAGCACTCTACCTGTAACTGGCTATGCTAACTGAATGTAACATGCATCATTATTTTACATACTGTGCTAGTTGGAGTATTGACCAGTGTGGCTTGCTATACTTACAGAGCCACCAAGCCCCCCATTTTGAGGTTATCAAGAATTAATTTTAGTCACAAAGGAGATTTGCTTTATCTTAAACATCTGGGGCCTGTACCATGAAGCTGGATTTCTGGCTTAGCTAGATAACTTCAGATTTAATGTAGTGTGGGCCAAATGCAAGTGAACTAAGATGAAGTCCACTTAAACTGGGGTACCTTAAATCCTACAACTTATCTGGCTAAGCAAGAAATGTAGCTTCATGATACAGGCCCCAGGTCTGTGGCCCTAGGTAAACAACACAAGTTTGCAGCTCAAAAGGCTTGGATCAGATTTCGAACCTGGGCCCCATCTTCTAGCCCCCAAGGGCAGACAAACTGGCATTGATAAATGTAGAGGGACAGGAACTGTGTCCTGTAGAGTTAGCCCACTGCCAGGATTGGCCTGTAAGCCTGTCACTGGTCACTGGTTGGTAATGCAGTGTGTTATTCTGTATGATGGTACCCTTGGAAATGGTAGATCTGTCACTCTGAAACATCTCTGTCTTGCCAATAAGAGCATGATGTCCAACAAGGGGCCAGACAACTGCAGAACGAAATACACCCTGGAAGGTGAGGCTTGTTCTTCGTTGTTTTGGCACATCACAAAATGAATCACTTTCCCCGCCGTGATGTCTCCAGCTGACGGTTCCCCGCCCATGTGGGGCGTCTCTTCCATAGCTCTGCTGTACAAGCCACTGGACCGTGTCACCAAGACAACTCTGGTGCTGCATGTAAGCTTCCCCACCTTGAGTGTGACTCTGCTCCCTGTCCCTCTTCCTATTGCTGCCCCCTTGCTCTTCTAGCTGGGAGTTCTGATTGTGTCTAATCCCCCCCTCCCCTTCCCTGCTCCTTCCAGGACCTGCTGAAGCACACCCCAGAGGACCATCCGGACCACCCGCACCTGCAAGAAGCCCTCCGCATCTCCAGCAGCTTCCTGGCCGGCGTCAACGAGGACTCGCACTGCAAGAGAGCGGTCACGCTGACCAAAGGCATAGTGAGTGCACGCGCACACAGATGAATACTCAGTGACAGCACGCCGTCTCCTCATGTGTGGATGTGTGACCTCCCTTGTGCCCTGTGTGTGACCCAGAGGCGGCAGCTGATGCGCGACGGCTTTGTGGTGGATGCGAGCGAGTGCGAACCCAGCCTGCGCCACCTCTTCCTGTACACCGACCTGCTGCTGTGCACCAAGCTGAAGAACGGCACGCCTGGGTGAGTCTGTGGCATCGGCTCTTGGCAGGTCGTCATGGCGACACGCCATGGCAACGCGCCACGGCCACGCCGCACTCGGACTCTCGCGCCCTCGCCGGGAATCCCACTAAGCGGCACGTGCGTGTGTCTCTTTAGGAAGCAGACCCAGTACAGGTTCAGCTGGTACCTACCCTTGGCTGGCCTGCGCATGAACTTGGGCCCTGTGAGGGAGCAGCCTGCCGACCTGCAACATCGCATTAGCGCCACCAGGGGCAAGATGTTCCAGCTGAGAGAGGAGCTGAAGCAGGAGGTGCGTGCTGGTCTGTGATCAGGGGCGTTTTAATGGACAGACTTACCCGGGCCGATGCCCAGGGACCTCCGACAAAAAAGGGCCTCAACTAACATTGTTTAATAAACTGAAATAACGTAATAGCTTGGTTATTACGTTAGGTTATCTCACTGGCCTTCCAGGTCATGGTCCACATAAATACGTCTTAGTCACTGGATTCTGCTGCATGTTCACGTTCCGTTCAAGTTTTTACTCGGAATGGCTGCTGTCATGCCGCTGGGTGAAAAGCAGCCTGAGAGAGTCATCGTCGGCCACGTCGAAGCTGGAACTACAGCAGAGTCTGGTTATTGTCTGTGTGCATCAGAAAGGAAGTAAAGGCCTTGGGGCTCGCACCTTGGACCGCAGCCGCAGGAAACTGCAGCAGTGCGAGCTGTGGCTGTTGACTCACGCGCCCGTCCTCCCCCTGGAGCTGCACAGTCCCAGCGGCAAGGTGAGGCCCCCGACTGAGCAGCCCGCTGGGACCCCCCCAGCACCCGGCTTGCTCCATGTGACATGCCCGGCCGTGGCTTTGTGTCATCGCTTGTCACTGGAGAGCTCTTTGATTCTGAGGTCCTTCTTCATCCTCAGAGTCACACCATCTTCCTGTCATCACTTTACGAACTGGACGAGTGGAGGGAGGCCATCGAGAAACTTAAAGGAGAGAGTGAGTCCTGATGATGGCTGCTTGGGCGGGGTGGGCACAGAAATGGAATTAAACAGTCATGTAACCTTTGTATGAGATCACGTGATAAAAAGTGACATTCTTTTTTTAATGCTGTGGTTTAACTCTGTGGGATAAAGCCCACCCAGGAAGGTTTGACGTGTGCCTGACCATCTGCGTTTGTGTGTGTTCTGGTGTGTGTATCCTCTTAATCAGATTTAGAGACGGTTCCTCCAGACCTGCTTGCCCTCACAAGCTCGTGTGTCAAGCTGAGAATGACCCAGCAGCCTTCCCTCCAGAGCCTGCTCCCAGGTGAGGTTCACATTTCACGGCACTCGCCTGGGGGTGGGCGGGTGGGGGATGACATCCTATAATCTCCCACTTCATTAGTTTATTATTTATTATATTTACCACAATCTTAAAGATGCAGTACGTTCATTTGTTGGTTTTGTGGTGCCACTTTAAAGCATTATGAAATAATCCAAATTATAGTGATCTAAAAGGTATTTTTATTTGATATGCGTATATCACATGGTTAAATCATACTTCAATTTATTGAAACGCAACGTGTAAATGAATCTTAAATATGCATTAAAATAGTCCTGCTTATTTATTCGTGATGTCCTTGTGAGGATGCACCAAAATATCAAGTTATTCACTGATTGCGTCTTGCAGAGTCTAGCTAGTAAGTGAAGCTTTGACAGCAATACAGTAAGCAAAATAAGTCGAAATACAAAAACACAGAACAGGAATCCAGTCACCAAGC